TGATAGAACCAAAACTTCTAGAAAAAACTAATTTTCCTCCCTCTCCTTTCTTTTTTTTTCTAGACTTGAAAACTCTCTCTTTTATGCTTAGAGGCACGAACTACCCTCACCATCTCATACATATTACGTCCTCAAGCTAGCTATAAATATTCTCGGGATAGATGTCTATACGATAGTCGAGTTAACTGTTTGCCAAGCATGATTTACAAAAAGCTCGAGCTTAACTGAGCTAGGCACAAAAAGTCATAACACTGACCTTCAATTTAATACTCGATCTTAGCATACGCCGTAGACTGAAATTATAAATAAACACAAGCTTAAGTCATCAACAAGTAACAGTACGATCAAACTGTATAAAGCAAGAACTAGACTAACGATCGAACTAGTAACAAATAAGCATCATACATGATCTTGTGATAATTAGAATGGATTACACGAACAAATGTCAAGAACTGGGGACCTTGTCCTTAGAAAACCAGAAGTTACCGGATACCCACCAAGGAAGCTTGGAACAATATGGGAAGGACCCTTCGAGGTCATACGCAAACTAAAAGGTGGAGCTTACAGCCTCAGGGACATTTCAAGGAAGCCGCTCCCAAGGCCATGGAACGCCGACAATTTAAAAATTTATTACAAGTAACTAGTTAGAACTATAATTTTTCCTTTTAAGGCTTACATGCCCACATTATGTTTGCTTTCTTTCGTTTTTACTTTTTGAGCTTTAGTGCCCTAACAGTTCATGCTCCAATAAGCTCGGGTATTAACGTCCTTGAGCCCTTTTTGTAGTATATTAATTTTTCTTTACGTTGTTGCTTCCCTACAAATCAAAATAGCGTAAGACTGTGCCCCGCACATGCAGCTAACACTTTATCAAATTAGCGTAAGGTCGTGCCCCGCGCATGCAGCTAATACTTTATAAATTAGCGTAAGGTCGAGCCCCGCGCATGCAGCTAATACTTTATAAATTACCATAAGGCTATGCCCTGCACATGCAGCTAATACTCGAACAATCAGAGCCAAACACACCGTGCCATATCTTAGTATAATAACGCGAAAACAGAATCGGCCATGTCAATAAACATCAAACAGGTCGGACCTAAGACCCCGACCTCAATAACACCAACTTAACAAAATAATGAGAAACCTCAAGGTCGAGATCGTGAGGCCATTAAGTCCCAGGCCTAAAACAAGTACCACGCCCGAGGTCAGATCGACTAAAAAAGATGTTCAAAAATAATAATACTCAGAACGCACCTTTAAAGTAAGGAGCTCGATAGCTCGAACACCTTCGTGAGGATCGGCCTCCTTCTCATATTTATCTACTATGCTTTGGATAAGAGCACAGTTAGCATACTACTTGAGCGACTTGGTGGGTATGGGGTCTTCATCATCAGCGAAAAGGTTCAACCCAAAGCATGGAGTACGAGCCCGAGCTTGCTGTTGAAGCTGGGCCGGCTCAGAGGGGTCAAGCTTTTCAAGCTCTACCCCAAACTTACCGAGGCAGGTCAGGCGACCTCCCTTGCCCGTTTTCTCCCCTTGGATGAGGCAGTGGTGGGGGCTTTGGACTTCGAGCCTCTTGTCCTCTGATGAACATTTTCCAAAAGCGTGGACGAATCGAAAAACATTTCGAGGCACGAACTACCCTCACCATCTCATACATATTACGTCCTCAAGCTAGCTATAAATATTCTCGGGATAGATGTCTATACGATAATCGAGTTAACTGTTTGCCAAGCGTGATTTATAAAAAGCTCGAGCTTAACTGAGCTAGGCACAAAAAGTCATAACACCGACCTTCAATTTAATACTCGATCTTAGCATACGCCGTAGACTGAAATTATAAATAAACACAAGCTTAAGTCATCAACAAGTAACAGTACGATCAAACTGTATAAATCAAGAACTAGACTAACGATCGAACTAGTAACAAATAAGCATCATACACGATCTTGTGATAATTAGAATGGATTACACGAACAAATGTCGAGGGTGTCATCCTCGAGTAGATAGTCGTCGATCTCCTGTGCCAAAAGGATCATGATTCACTAACCTCAGCCTATCTCTCTCTAAAACCTCGAAATAGGCCTCACCTTTGTTGAACCTATCCTTATTAGGAATTTCCCACTTCGGGCTAAACGGATGGTCGGGGTCTTGAGGTTTCACAAAAAAGAACCGTTCTTTCCAACCCTAGAGAACTCGGGGTCTCAGGTGTTCTAAACCCCCCTTCGTGGATAAGTAAACAAAACAGTTGTACCCCAGAGAGAACTTCATATTAAAGACCATTCGTAAAAGGTCGAGTCTAGGCTCGATCTCGAGACATCACATAATATAAAGAAATACACCAACAATTTCCAACCATTCGGGGATAGTTGGTTAGGGTATAAGTAACAAGGTCAGGAAATTGATGAAAAATGGGTGAAGCGGCCACCTAAGCCCGGCCTTAAGGACATCTCTAAAAAGGTCATTTCTCCCTTTCGAGCCCCTAACACGGTCTCAGTAGGCCCTGGGGTTCTCACATCACAAATAGGCATAACCCTGAACTCCTCTTACATGCCTGATCATTCTTGGCCTTAAGTTCGACCATTTGGTTCGAAGAGTTGAGGCCATTAAGTCCCAGGCCTAAAACAAGTACCACGCCCGAGGTCAGATCGACTAAAAAAGATGTTCAAAAATAATAATACTAAGAACGCACCTTTAAAGTAAGGAGCTCGATAGCTCGAACACCTTCGTGAGGATCGGCCTCCTTCTCATATTTATCTACTATGCTTTGGATAAGAGCACAGTTAGCATACTACTTGAGCGACTTGGTGGGTATGGGGTCGTCATCGTCAGCGAAAAGGTTCAACCCAAAGCATGGAGTACGAGCCCGAGCTTGCTGTTGAAGCATGGGCCGGCTCAGAGGGGTTAAGCTTTTCAAGCTCTACCCCAAACTTACCGAGGCAGGTCAGGCGACCTCCCTTGCCCGTTTTCTCCCCTTGGATGAGGCAGTGGTGGGGGCTTTGGACTTCAGGCCTCTTGTCCTCTGATGAACATTCTCCAAAAGCGTGGACGAATCGAAAAACATTTCATGTTCTGCAAACAGAAAAGGCAAAGACATTAGCTCGAACTATAAGTCGATGCTTAGACAAGAAATTACAAAGTTATAAAAAAATCATACCCTCGAGGCCTACTCCCCCAAACACTCAAATGCAAGGTTGGGCATTCTAGGTCGAGGTTGTTAACCGGGGTTTAAGGTCCTTCAGCTCTAAGTTTCCCAATGACCAATGAGAGCACTAATTCTACTTGAACTTCACTTCTTGCCCTAATTGACTCCTTCTTCGATTCAAACACAAGTGGAACACTTGGAATAAAATACGAACTTTCGGGCTAAACGGATGGTCGGGGTCTTGAGGTTTCACAAAAAAGAACCGTTCTTTCCAACCCTAGAGAACTCGGGGTCTCAGGTGTTCTAAACCCCCCTTCGTGGATAAGTAAACAAAACAGTTGTACCCCAGAGAGAACTTCATATTAAAGACCATTCGTAAAAGGTCGAGTCTAGGCTCGATCTCGAGACATCACATAATATAAAGAAATACACCAACAATTTCCAACCATTCGGGGATAGTTGGTTAGGGTATAAGTAATACAAGGTCAGGAAATTGATGAAAAATGGGTGAAGCGACCACCTAAGCCCGGCCTTAAGGACATCTCTAAAAAGGTCATTTCTCCATTTCGAGCCCCTAACACGGTCTCAGTAGGCCCTGGGGTTCTCACATCACAAATAGGCATAACCCTGAACTCTCTCGCTATCTTAATGATCACAAGTTCTTTATACTTGGTCGGTTCTTTGGGATAGATCAGGTCGTCAATGTGAGAACTAATAGGGACGGCCATGGGGATCAGGGATGTACCTACGTCCTTAGGCTTATCACTATGGTTCGAAGCTCTGGATGGACGGCTACTATCACTCTTATTCGACCCCGTGCTCCTACTACAACTACTCGACATAATACTAAATCAAATAATTAAAAATTTAAAGGCCCGAACTCTTACCTTTTTAGATGATCGCTCACCAACCCACTATCCTCGAGCTCAAGCTTTCTTTTACTGGAGAGTGAAAAGTGAAAATGTGGGACTATTTATAGATGTCTCTGGAATATCAACGGTCCTTTAATCTGAACCCCTGGGAGGGACACGTGTCATTCATCTAAGTTCGAGCTCTTTCGACCCAACACGTGTCAGACTATCACCATTAGTTTATTACTTGGTATGAAATTCGAATTCGAGGCAGCATAAAGCTCTGCATCTTGGTACGCAGCACAGGCTACGACATCGATGCACAAGGGCCTAGGATGTTCCCAAAATATGTGACCCGAACTCGACCTTGGCCACTCCCCCAAACACTCAAATGCAAGGTTGGGCATTCTAGGTCGAGGTTGTTAACCGGGGTTTAAGGTCCTTCAGCTCTAAGTTTTCCAATGACCAATGAGAGCACTAATTCTACTTGAACTTCACTTCTTGCCCTAATTGACTCCTTCTTCGATTCAAACACAAGTGGAACACTTGGAATAAAATACGAACTCCCTATCCTACGAGGATAAGGACCACACGTTGTTAAGTCCTCCTAAGACTCAACCACCAATACCTATAAATGCATAACAGGCTCATTTTTCATGTACGCTTTTCATTATTCCAGTTCATAGCTTCACGCACTAAATTCCCTATCTGATTCAAGCATCGAAGGGGCGACAAGCACACATCTCGTTGCCTTTGTTTCAGGTATTCGAAAACCGTTCGTGTTCAGTCAAGTTCATTCAAGTTCGGAGCTCAAAACACCCAATTCGAGATCTTTCAGGTACGATTTTTTGGTAGCATGAGTACGAGTACAGTCTTATCATGTCATTGATTTAAGTTCAAATATCATTCAATCAAAATGTGAAATTAAAAAAAAAATTATAATTACTTGAAAAATATAAAACTTAGTATTAACCATTAATAAAATGATCTTAAATGATATGATCGGCAGTAAAAAGGAGAAAGCTCCACACTTTATTTTTCACAATTTATTACATTTATTAAACTGCTAAAAAATTGACTGATCTATTAAATAATTACAACAAAAATGCAAAAAAAGAAAACACGGCGTTTTTTTAATTGCATGAGAACGGCTACTTGCAATAGCAAGTTATGCTTCCAAGTAAGCTTTTTTCTCCAAGTATGAAATAACTATTTCGGCCAAATGAGTTGGAGAATCATACTTCTCTTCTCTTTGACGTAATACTATCTGCAACGTGGAAACTCAACAGCATCAAGGGCTGACAAAACGTTAAGTACATGTTTTGAACAGATAGTCGTGTATGACTAAATATGTACAATAGTGTCCAATCAACTATGTCAAATATATTGTACAAACTCAAGCTTTGATGGCAATGCAGCTATCGAAAAGGACGGCGTAATTCTTTTCTCCGTAGTGGAGTTCCACATGCCAACACAACAGGTAGAATACTCTAAATGTTTCGAGCTAAATATATTTTTAGCCTCGAGAACATATATGACACTATATTACACGACCGTTCTTCAAAGAGTTCAAGCAGAAGGAGCTTCTAGTTTTACATGGAAAGCATACCTCTGCATTTAGTGGTGGCTCGTACGGATCATCAACACCTGTGAAACCTGAAAGCACAGCAAATTAAACAAAGAACTAAATAAGGAAGGCAGAGTGGAGCTGCAAGGGAGTGGAGGCAGATGAAATTCACTTCGCACAGCAAGTTAAACCAGACATTTGCCTTCACAAAAAGATTAAAAGAAAGCAACAGCTAGGGTAGGAGGCTCCTTCGGTTTTCAGATAGACGCACACAATAATATAGACTTTTTAAAAGCATACTGGACTTGAGTATAATAATTATACAAATAGACAAACGACCCTCAAATTGAACATAAATATGGAGCCCCATCTCTCGAAAGATACAAGTCAATTTACACGGCGATTGTAACATGATAGTGTGAATATGAATTGGTGCGTAGCAATGGCAACCAACAGCTGCTTGGTAAGCAAGTCAGGAGGGCAAGATGTTTGATGCCTCATTATTGATTCTATGTTGGAAAAAAATATGCAGTTTACAAATAAAAAATAAAAAAAAAGTGTACAGAGAAGAGGGAGGGTAAAAAATACCGGGGAAACCATCGCAGTCCGTTGTCAACAAATCATCGATAGCATTGCAACCGTCATTGATGTCCGACGTCGTTTCAGAAGCATCCATTGCCTTTGTCGGCTCCAAAAAATTCGATCTCACCTCTCCACTGCTAATCCCCAATCTTTTACTCTTACAATTCAATACAGACACATTCACCGGCCTTAACTTCGCACTTAATGCCTTTAAAAGGTCCATATCTTGTGATTTACACAAACTTGACGATCGAAATCCAACTGAGGCCATTTTTTATCTACCAAATTCAAATAATTAATAATTCAGAATACAACTCTGCAAATTATAACTATGAAAAAATTCTCTAAAATATTTGAAATAGACAAAGGGACGAGACAGAGATTTTGGTTGAAAATGGTAATGGGCACTGAGATTCCTATAATCAGATGGAGATTCCAGTGGCCATTAGACGTCAGAACATTAGTCAAGGCTGTAGGCTCGGGATTCAAATGGTGGAGACGTTTTTACCATCTTAAAGAGTTAATTTTAGCTAATGGTTACTCAAGTTCGTACAAATTTTTAGATTGGTCCCTAAAGCTATTTTAACTCATTTAATTATAGAGTCTTTTCAAAAGACTCTTTATTTTTTAGAGAGCATATCTATAATTTAGAGCCTATTTGATTCCCATTATTTGGTCATAAAAATGAAAAATATGATAATTATTCATTCAATAAGCCATCATATTTGACTTTTCATCTCTTGTGTGGGTCCCGTAACAATTATATTTTTCATTCTCATTCTTAGAAAACTGAGAATCAAAGGGGCTCTTAGAGTGTGAAAATTTTGAAGTACTGCGACGGACTCTTTATATTTAACACTTAATTTTACTACTCAAATTTTTTTTTATTTTTCTATATTTTTTTATTTTAACTAACTTTTATTTATATTATTATTGATGCTATAAAAAATCGTACATGTCGGTTTCCCGAGAATGAAGACTGAGAAAGAGCACGAACATGACTTTTCGGTACCTGAAAAAAAGGCAACAAAGTATGTTTTCATCGTCCCTCCGATGCTTAAATCAGAGAGAGAATTTAAAAATATAGAATATTTTATTGTGTGAATGTGTAATTAAAAATAAGTATATATATGAAAAAAAGGGGGTTTAAAAATAATGGTTGTCAAACAATGGCTAAAGTTTATAACAATTTTATCTAATGTTGTTTACCCTTCACAAAAAGTGAATTCATATATAAACAAGCTAGCAGCATTCTTTTCTTTTGAAGGTGCATAAGTTTTCAGTTTCTTAAAAAGCCACGACCTCACAGTCACATGAAGAAAATCAATTCCACAGCATTCTACTTGCTCGACACTTAATAACAGAAAAACCCAAAAGCGTCCAAATCTATGAAAGATCAAGGAAACTTCAGAAAAACACACACAAGTAAAGCAAATAAATGAATGTTGAACGGCCAAAAGGCCCAAGAAAGAATTGATTCAGAAAGCTAATACTAATTACATAAACTGTTGTGTGTGTTGTACATACCTGAACCACTGAGTCCAGTAATCCAGATTACACAACCTTTTTGTTTAAGCAATTCCTGCCTGTCACTCTTTTCTACAGAACATTTATGCCATAGAATATTGGTCGAATGTCCAACTGTGGACATCTTGGGCGTACTCTTTCCTAGTCAAAAGTTATTCAGCGTCATTAGAATCTAAACATAAATAATTCTCCCTCCGTACGAAAATTTGAACGTCAGAATTGCAGAAAAATACCGGGGAAACCATCGCAGTCCGTTGTCAACAAATCATCGATAGCATTGCAACCGTCATTGATGTCCGACGTCGTTTCGGAAGCATCCATTGCCTTTGTCGGCTCCAAAAAATTCGATCTCACCTCTCCACTGCTAATCCCCAATCTTTTACTCTTACAATTCAATACAGACACATTCACCGGCCTTAACTTCGCACTTAATGCCTTGAAAAAGTCCATATCTTGTGATTTACACAAACTTGACGATCGAAATCCAACTGAGGCCATTTTTTATCTACCAAATTCAAATAATTAATAATTCAGAATACAACTCTGCAAATTATAACTATGAAAAAATTCTCTAAAATATTTGAAATAGACAAAGGGACGAGACAGAGATTTTGGTTGAAAATGGTAATGGGCACTGAGATTCCTATAATCAGATGGAGATTCCAGTGGCCATTAGACGTCAGAACATTAGTCAAGGCTGTAGGCTCGGGATTCAAATGGTGGAAACGTTTTTACCATCTTAAAGAGTTAATTTTAGCTAATGGTTACTCAAGTTCGTAAAAATTTTTAGATTGGTCCCTAAAGCTATTTTAACTCATTTAATTATAGAGTCTTTTCAAAAGACTCTTTATTTTTTAAAGACATATCTATAATTTAGAGCCTATTTGATTTCCATTATTTGGTCATAAAAATGAAAAATATGATAATTATTCATCCAATAAGTTATCATATTTGACTTTCCATCTCTTGTGTGGGTTCCATAACAATTATATTTTTCATTCTCATTCTTAGAAAACTGAGAATCAAAGGGGCTCTTAAAGAGTGAAAATTTTGAAGTATTGCGACGGGCTCTTTATATTTAACACTTAATTTTACTACTCAAATTTTTTTTTATTTTTCTATATTTTTTTTATTTTAACTAACTTTTCTTTATATTATTATTGATGCTATAAAAAATCTTACATGTCGGTTTCCCGAGAATGAAGACTGAGAAAGAGCACGAACATGACTTTTCGGTACCTGAAAAAAAAGGCAACAAAGTATGTTTTCATCGTCCCTCCGATGCTTAAATCAGAGAGAGAATTTAAAAATATAGAATATTTTATTGTGTGAATGTGTAATTGAAAATAAGTATATATATGAAAAAAAGGGGGTTTAAAAATAATGGTTGTCAAACAATGGCTAAAGTTTATAACAATTTTATCTAATGTTGAAGGTTAGAAAAATTAACGTACATTATTGTGTGCTGTCTGTTAAAATATAAGTTGATCCCCTACATGCGTCATTTGAATTTTTCAATAGAATATTGACGATATTTAATCTTAGGAGATCGGAATTTCACATTTTTTACTTCAATTATTGTGGGTTCAAGTTAATGTTAATTTAGACGAAAAAAGAATTTAATATTTATTTTTCCACGATGACGATTTTACCCTAAGTGAATTAACAAATGTTACTCCATAATGGCACCTAATATATGACGCTTCAGAATTAACGATAACAATATGCATTCCATGAGATTATAAAATGTTCACCATTTTCATTTGAATAATTCCACTGTGCGGGAAATTATTCACAAAAGCCAAGCCGGTGCAATTTTTGCCCATATTCAACCCGAAACCAATGAATTTTTGCCGAGCATTGTTCTGTGAAAATTCTGTCAAATATTTTCTGTACTTGTAGCATAAATGTTTTCATTTTCATAGTCTTTTCTTGAACATATGGGTTTTAAATGGGTATAGCCAAATTATTCAACTAATCCATCGTCGAGCCTCACGAGTTAACTCTCGCTCACTTGTGGGGTGAGCCGAGCGTGAACTAGAGCTAGAGCTAGATCGCTTTGCTAAACGTATGCTTTGTTTTCAAATTTTTTTTTTTTTAGTAAGAATTGCATATCACTCACAATTTACGAGTCAGCTCATACGAGTATTTTTGCTGCTCAATACGTTTTTGAAGTTCACAAGTTGGTGAGCGGCTCATCCGACTTGACAACTCTATTTCAGTGGCTTCTTTGAGGTAAATTACGTTTTGTTCTATTAAAAAAAGGGCATCAATCTAAATCTAGTGATAATCAATATGATCTTTTTTCACCTTTTTACATTGGTTTTTTAGTTATTAGCCATTTGGGATTGGTAACAGTAGAGCCTAGTTTGTGCATGATTAGTGCTCCTTTAATTTCTTGCCTTTTTAGCTTAAGATCAAGGTCCTGGCTTGAATCCTGCCGTGAGTGGAATGGAAGATAGCACTTTTAAAGAAATTAATTAAATAAAGAGTAATGCTATTTAACTCTATTAGAGCTATAACATCAGTTTAGGTAACATTAATGTAACATTAAATGATAGGAAAAATTAAGTAAATAATTTAATTTCATCTTTTATTTCGCATGTTATCTAGCACCATCTAAACGGAGTTGTAATTCCAGTGGAGTTATATAGCATTATTCTTAAAATAAGGAATTAGCCGATGATGCCATTTTAACCATTATATTATTTACTTTTTTGAAAATTCATTTCTATAATTTCAAATTTTCGTTTAATACAAAAAGAAGTATTGAATATTTGTCAAACTACAATATTCTAGAATTTATTTTTGATACATAAGTCTCCTTACTTCGACGTGTATAAATTTACATATTGATCTTTTTTCAAACAATGACAAATAGAAAGATTGGAAAAAAACAAATTATCTCGTGATTAAATATTTTCTGCTTCTTGATGCTTATAATTGGAATAGCAAGCAAAGAACTAAGAGTGCGTTTGATTGTAGATGTTTTTCATTGAATATGTGTTTTTTCTATTCAAATTCCTATTTTGTGCTGTTTAACTGATAATTTTTTTCACGGAAAATATTTTCCTATTTTTAATTATATGATCATATTTTCCTCAAAATTAAAGAAAATATATTCTTAAGGAAAGTAGGATTTTATTTTCCATGGAATTTACCGTCTCTTTCTTTCTCATCTATCCACTCTCATTTTATTTTCTATGAAATTCATTGTCTCTTTCTTTCTCATCTATCCACTCTCTCCTCTGCACACCAATAAAAAAGACAACTATAATATTTTTTAGGTTGAAAATTAAATCAATCAAATACATTTTATTAACAATTTTTATGCATATAAGTTCTAGACAATTGAATTATCTATAATTTATTTTCTTTCTATACAAAATTCATGTTTACAATGCAACCGAAAAATATGGTGGATGTTAGAAAATACAGAGCCCCCTCCATCTTCCGCCCCAATCTCATTTTTCCTCCTGTGGCCCACGCCCTACATTTTCATACAAATTTGACGCTTTGTTATCATTAATAACATATTTAAGGATGCAATTAGGCAAGTGGGGATCATGCCTAGTGATGCCATTTATTCTGAAGAAAAACACTACTTGCTGGGCTAAATTATTATTTTGGGGGGGGGGGGGGGGGGA